AGCTGTGTGTAAAACCAAGAAAGTGGTCTGAATGAGTCCTCTAGTCAATTCAACAAACAGGTGTCAGATGCAGTACCGGGCAGCAGAATTACAGACAGGAATGAAACAGCCCCTGCCCTCAAGAAGCTTGCTTTCTACTGAGGCCCACAATCAACTGAATAAACACAAAGTAACTTCAAGAGAGATAATAATTGGGAGGAGGGGGAAAGGAGGGGTCGCAGTAGACAGAAGTGAAGCAGGAGAGCCTTCCAGACATGGGGGACAGCCCATGCAAAGGGCTGTTAGGCAGGAGATGGAATGTCCTGTACAGTGAACAGCTATGCGGCCAGATTGACCAGCCCACGGAGTATAGGAAGGGGAATATTGTGCCATAAAGACTGGACAGGTTGGTGGGAGCCAGACTCTGGAGCGCTTTAAATGCCAGGCTGAGGATTTTGTCATTGATATCAGGGGCAGTGGGGAGCTACTGAAGATTCACACACAGAGGCACCTCCGGGGAGCTGAAGCTGTGGTCATTTGGGGAGACTGTGATGGCACCTGGAGAAGGTCCTCTGGACTTTTGGAGGGACAGAAGCCAATTCCCAGCCTGATGACGATTCCCTTGCCCTTCTTGAGTTACAGAAAGAGAGAACTTGGCCCATTTCCTCCTTCATTTTATTCCATTACCTGAAGGCAGGGAGCATCTGGGTTTCATCCATCCCTGGGTGTGAGTGTCTGTAGGGGAAAGGGGAAGCCCAGAGAGGGTCTTTAGAAAGAACAGGGGAACAGGGAGGCTGTTTATTACAATGGCTCAGCGAGCTGTCTTCTCAAAGAGCCTCCAGCCTTATTTATAGGGAGAAAATGGATCCCAGATTGAGCAGGAAGGAACCCGAGATGTCGTTTTGCAGATGAGGAAACAGGTCCACAGAGTTTGACCTGGAAAGGGTCTCAGACACCAGTCCCCCCCAGGGCCTCCCTGAGAGGCTCACCTACTGTCTCACAGGCATTAAGTGGCAGAGACAAGATTCTAACCCACATCCTCTGACTCCAATGCAGTTTCTTTGGAACCACACTGCCTCAAAAGTGTTAGAGATCAGTGTTTTCCAAAGCTATAGAAGCTTTGATTCATTTCTACCTAAGTTCTAACCACTCTGAGCCTCAGTTTCCTCATCTGTAAAATGAAGAGAATGCCTCTAGTGCCTCTATCACAGGGTAAGTGGTGAGGCTCAAAAGGCATGAAGTGTGTAAAATGTTATGTAAACGTGACTATTTACATATTGGACACTATTATTATTGTAGGGGTGGGAGGGTAAGGAAGGAGGTGCCCACAGCTTTGGGGAAGGAAAGGAAGAAAACAAGCAATTATTAAGTGCCTAGTATGTGCCAGGCACTGTGCTGAGGCTATAAAGAAAGGGGAATAAAAAAGCCCTGCCTCCAAGGAGCTCACAGTCTAGTGAGGGAGTCAACATGCAACAAACAGACAGAATAAACTGGAGATAATGAGCAGAGGGAAGATGCCGGCATTAAGGGGGCTTGGGAAAAGCTTCTTGTAGAAGGTGGGATTTTAGCTGGGACTATGCCCAAGAGCATACAGCTAGACCTGGAAAGGACTTTAGAGGTTGCCTACTTCATTTTACAGATGAGGAAACTGAGGCACAATGAAGCCAAGTGGCCTGCCCAAGGCTGGGGTCACACAGGTAAGAAGCACCATGATCAAACTGGAACCCAACTTGTCTGACCCCAAATCCAGCCTCCTTTCCATTCAAGCTACCCCTTCTGGCAGTGGTGAGATTTGAATCCATGCTTCAGGCACACTGCCCAGATCCATGGTTAATGGTGATCCCTGTTTATATAGTGTGGGGCCATCTTGGCATTTCCAGAATGATTCCAGCTTGGTTCCAGTGAATTATTTTCCAGATGTTTTTTTTTTTCCCTGTAATCTCTTTGCGAAGATTTTATCTTAAAATTTTGCATCAGTGCTCATTAGCAGGGTCGCTGCCAGGACAAGGGTGTCTGTCTGCTTCCAGGCTGGCCACCAGGGAGGGACCTTTTCAGTTACTGCAGCTCTAGAATGCCATACAGGCACAACAGGGCTGGGGGAGTGGAGTGATTTGTCCCCAATGATGAAAAAGTAGCCCCTTGGACTAGGAAAATGATTTTTATTCCAATCTGGAACTGGCGATTCGCCTCTTCTGGGACATAGGCATCACTTACATTTCCCTTAGGCTAATCTGTCATCATTAATGTCAGGGGGGGGCTCCCCAGAGAGTGCAAAAGGGAGAGAGATTTTCTTGAGATAATAATGAAGCTGGGGAAGAGAGAGATCTGCCTCAGGCATTCTCCTTCCTGCCCCTGAACTGGGAGCCCCCAGAGATGTAAGGAAGGTGGAAGGTGGAGCGTGGACCTGTGTATTGTAACAGTCCCTGGTGGGACTCCTGGCTATCTGTCTCTCCCCTCTCCAGTCCAAATGGGTCAATCAACAAACATTTATTCAATGATTACTATGTGCCCAGCCCTTTGCCCCCACGCAGCTGGCAGAAGAAAGTTCCTAAGGCACAAGTCAGACCATATATCCACCCCATCCCCCACACTCCCTGCCCCTCTTAAGAACCATTGGTGGGAGATATGAGAAGGAACCTCTCCTGGTTTCCCCATTCCCCACACTCCCTGCCCTGCTTAAGAACCACTGGTGGGGGATATAAGAAGGAACCTCTCCTGGCTTCTCAGCAGAGATGGGGGATGACGGGTGTGGAACACTGCATATGTCAGGCTTTTTCTGATGTATTGCTTAATTGGAATTTTTTTCCTCTTTTTTTATTCTTTGTCATAAGGGATCACTCTCTGAGAGGTGGATGGTATATTGGAAAATGCAGGTGATAGAAAAAAAACCCAAGAAATCAATAACCATTGGGAAAAAAAAAAGAACTTTCAGGGGCTCCCGATTACCCTTGATTGTCAAGGACAGGATACAATAGAAACTCTTCCATGTCTGTCAGTCCTGACATTTCTAGACTTACTTCCCATCCCTCCCCCTCCCACCCTCTATGTTGCAGCCAGCCACCTACGGACCTGGTGCCCCCCTAACTTGCAGACGCCTCCCCCACTGCCTCCCCAAGCCACTTCCTCTCCTCACCACCATCTTTTAGAGCCCCTCAACTCCAATTCTTCAAGGCTTAGCATGCGGCTTGGGTGCCCCCTTTTAATGAACAGAGCTGGCCAAATGGAGAGCGGGCTGTGTGGTGAGGTGACAGGCTCCCTTCCTTGGGGAACTCGGAGCAGAAGCCGCCATGTTCCAGTGGGAATTCCTTTTAGGTGGCCCCTCCCAGCTCTAAAGTCCCTAATTCCTACTGTCAGCCTTTCCTGATCTCCCTTGCTTAGCACATAGTAGGCCTGCCTGGCACATAGTATGTACTTAATAAATGCTTGCTGACTGACTTACTGATTCCCACCTCAAATTATCCTGTATATGTTTATCTAAGCACAGTGACCAGGACATAGTACACTTAATAAATGCTGTCTACCCTTATCCTATCACTCTAAGTAGAATGTAAGCTCCCTGAGGGCAGGCATCAGGTTTTGATCTTGGGTTTATAGCTATAGGGGCAGCTAGGTGGCGCATTGGATAGAACACCAGGCCTGGAGTCAGGGAGACCTGAGTTCAAATCCAGCCTCAGACACTGACTAGCTGTGTGACCCTAGGCGAGTCACTTCACCCTGCTTGCCTCAGCTTCCTCATCTGTAAAATGAGCTGCAAAAGGGAATGGCAAATCACTCCAGTATCTTTGCCAAGAAAACCCCAAATGGGGTCATGAAGAGTTGGACACAATTGAAGAATAGTGCCTGGCATACAGTAAGCACTTAATAAATGCTGTCTGACTGCACTCATCCTGTATCACTCTAGTAGAACGTCAGCTCCTTGACGGCAGGCACTGGCTTTGCTCGTCTTTGTAGCTGCAGTGTTTGGCACCTAGTAGGTGCTTAGAAATTTGTGTTGGATTGGGTTTGATCACCCATCCTCTCAAAAGGGCAAAGAAAAGGTTCTAGAAGAAGAGCTCTTGGTCAGGCAGGTCCTCCACCTGCCACAGGAGAGCATGTCAAGTTACAGCCTGAGAGACTTGTATCGATAGCTCCTCAAGGCAGGAAAGAGCCAAGAAAATGGAGTTGCAGGACCTGAGTTCTAATTATGACTCCGTCATTTAGTACCTATGTGACCTTGGGCAAGTTGTTGAACTTCTCTGGGCCTCGGTTTCCTCATCTGTAAAAAAGGGATTTAGACCAGTTGGCCTCTGGGGCTAGCACCATAATCCTCTACTAGAGAGTGAAATGAACAATTGTGAAATCAGCCTATCAATGACTGCGTGTAACTGGGAGAAAACACTACCCTCTGATTAAGCATCATGTCTACTCTTGAGCTCGGGAAACGCATGCCCCCCCTGCCTCAGGCCAGGAGGCTGGTTCGTCTTCCCTGGCAGTGGGAAATTCAGAGGATCCGAGGTCTAGACCACGGAGGAACCTGCAAGGCCACCTGGTGCAGCCATGCCCAGGCCAGGGCTCCTCTGCGTCAGGGACCCTTGAAAGCAGGCTTCTTGGCACGCAGCCTTAGGCTCCCTCGGAATGTAAGGTCCTAGGAGGGCTCTTCTGGAGCTGTCCAGCACTCAGCACAGCCTCTGGCCTCTGCTCCTTATAAAGATGTACAACTTTGTTTGTAGAGTGAGGAGGGGGACAGCCGGTGACATGGGCAATCATCTCTACTCTCTGAGCCTGTTCCCTCATCTGTAAAATCAGAGTCGGGTTCAATGACTTCTGCTTGCCTCTCAGGCTCCAGAGCCTGGCTCTCGTCCAATCAATCTCTCTGGGCTTTGGTTTCAGCATCTGTAACTGAGGGGTCAGACTCTCTGACCTCTGAGGTCCTGTCTCATCAATCCCATGCTCCTCTAGGGTGGGCATCCCCCCAGTGGGGGTGCTGGGGTTGGGGGTACTGTGTAACTAACTAAATGTGAGCGTGTCCCGTCTCCCTACAGGCTCCTCACCTCCTCCAGGACCCTTCTGTGCTGGAGATGAGACCCAGGCTGCACCCGGTGTTCTTTGGGGAAAGCATTGAAGTAAACCCCGAGCCCATGCAGGAAATTCGGTACGTGTGGCAGCGGCTTTCTCCTTTGGCCCGTGGAGGAGGTAGTGAGGGCTTGTGAGGGGGAGGGGATATTCTTTTTTTAGAAAGAATGTATATGATAGAACTAATCAGTGAGCATCTATTAAATGCCAGCTGTGTGCCAACCACTAGGCTGGGTCCTGGGCATGCAAACAGACTCAAGGAACTGGCATTCTATCAGAGGAGACAACATGTACATATACGTTTAAGAAAATAAGTAATAGGTATTTGGGGAGGGGGACCCCAACACCCATGGGGAAGAAGGGTCAGGAAAGGAGCATCATGTAGAAATTGGCACCTGAGTTGAGCTTTGAAGAGATTTCTGAGAAACAGAAGTCAGAAGGGAGCACCTTCTGTGCGAAGGTATGGAGGGAGGAAATGGGATGGCGTGTGAGAAGAATAGTAGACAAAGCCAGTGTGGCTCAACTTGGGATGGCATGAATGGAAGGGTAGGCTGGAGCCAGGTTGTAAAGGCCTTCAAACATCAGATGAACTTGTATTTGGTCCTAGGGGCAATAGGGAGCTGCTGAAAGTGATGGAGCAGTAGGCCATGATTTGGTCAGATCTGTGCTTCAGGAGAATGACAGCTTCATGGAGGATGAATAGGAGTTGGGAGGGACTCGAGGCAGAAAGGTCAATTAGGAAGCAATTGTCATAATCTGAGCCAAAAGTCATTTGGCCAGGCCGTGGAGTTAGGAAAAGGCAGGCTTGCGTTTTGTCTGAACTAGGATGGAAAGTAGAGAGAAGGGAGGAGATGCCAGAGATGTCACATATTGTGATATTGTGCTATGTATGAGGGAGACAGAAAGAAAGAAAGAAAGAGAGAGAGAAAGGAAGGAAGGAAGGAAGGAAGAAAGAAAGAAAGAAAGAAAGAAGGAAAGAGAAAGAAAGGAAGAAAGGAAAGAAAGAAAGGAAGGAAGAAAGAGAAAGGAAGGAAGAAAGAAAGGAAAGAAAGAAAGCAAGCAAGCAAGCAAGAAAGAAAGAAAGAAAGAAAAGAAAGAATCCGTGGTTCCAGGAGTCTAACTAGCAAGGGGATGAGAAGATACAGAAGTAACTATAATATAAAAAAATGCAGAAGAGAGATGTAAGAATGTGCTGAGAGACTGAGGGATCAGACCAGGGTGGGAGGAGCAAAGGTTTCACAGCAGAATTGGCTTTGAAGGACAGGAAGAATATCAACAGGCAGAGATGCCAGGGAGAGGGAAGAAAGATAGAAAGAAAGAAAGAAAGAAAGAAAGAAAGAAAGAAAGAAAGAAAGAAAGAAAGAAAGAAAGAAAGAAAGAAAGAAAGAAAGAAAGAAAGAAAGAAAGAAGGAAAGAAGGAAAGAAAGAAGGAAAGAAGGAAAGAAAGAAGAAAGAGAAAGAAAGGGAAGAAAGGAAAGAAAGAGAAAGGAAGGAAGAAAGAGAAAGGAAGGAAGAAAGGAAAGAAAGGAAAGAAAGAAAGAAAGGAAAGAAAGAAAGCAAGCAAGAAAGAAAGAAAGAAAAGAAAGAATCCATGGTTCCAGGAGTCTAACTAGCAAGGGGATGAGAAGATGAAGGATCCTTGATTGGGACTGATGAGACAGGACCTCAGAGGTCAGAGAGTCTGACCCCTCAGTTACAGATGCTGAAACCGAAGCCCAGAGAGATTGATGGGATGAGAGCCAGGCTCTGGAGCCTGAGAGGCAAGCAGAAGTCATCCATCCTCTTTCCAGGCATGGGTGCCATATGCAAAAAGGCAGAACAGGAGAAGGCAGTGGGGTCTTCTGTTTGGCTAGACCTAGGGTATGAAGTGGCATATTGTGAAATCTTGCTAAAAGGGTAGGTTGGACCAAGGTCGTAGAAGGCATTGAATGCCAAGTTAAAAAGTTGGCATTTTTTTCAGTGGGCAATGGGGAGCCATGGATGGTCTCTGGGTGAAGTCAGAACTATGCCTTAGGAAAGTGACTCATTCATTGTAAGAAGGATGTATTTGGGAAGTGAGAGACTGCAGAAAGGGAATCTAGAAGGGAGAAATGGCGGCCTGAACCAGGGTGCTGGTACTGGGTGTCAAAAGAAGGGGACAGACTCCAGAAGTTCCAGAGGTATAATCCTAGAACTGTAGATTGAGACTGGGTAATCTCTTCATTCCACAGAAGAAGGAAAAAACCAACCAGTGGCCTCAGAACAAAGATGTCGTAGATGTTGTTTGCCAATGGTTCCACAGGTGGTGGCAATGCCAGGATCCAAACCCAGCTCCTCTGGCCCCAAACCAGCACTCATTCCATGGCATCTCTTTGATACTAATGTGCCAATTCAAGTCCTGATTCTTTGTGAATTCAGAGTTAGATATGGAGTAATTAATTAAACTATGTGTATTAGGAAAGAGCACCTACTGAGTCACCATTTTGACCCAAGGTCACTGGTAAATAGAAGGATGTATAGGAACATTTTGTGTACCTCTTTGTGTCTAATGGTAGCCATCTCCAGGGTGGTGGGGGGTGGAAAAAAAGGGGAAAAAGAGAAATTTACATGTAAAGTTGGTATATTTGGAGGGAACGGCGAGTTGTACATGGTAGATTGGCAATTTCATGTGCAATCGTCTTTTTTATTGTACTGTGTTATGGAAATGTTTGTTTTGTTCCATGAATTTAAAATAAAATAAATTAAAAAATAAAGAAAACAGAGGGGAGGAAGAAGAGGACAGGGCCTGCTCTAGGTGAACTTGTTAAGTAAGGCAGACGTAGGCCAGCTCCTCTTTCCTCTTAGTATTTCTCACTGACCTTCTCTAAACACCTTTCCTCCCAATACAGACTATTATTCCTTCAGATGTTAGACATGAACTAATATTCTCTTCCTTTCAAATGTATTACACAATAATAAATGAAGAAGTTATTGAAAAAAAAAAGAACCTTAACATGGGCTAACATCTTAGTAATAACAATGCCCGACCTGCCCAGAGTGCTATTCCAATGCTGCTTATTTGGAGTAATAACTGGTATTAACAGAGTCCATTGTAATGTCTGATGCTGCAGAAGGTCTGGCAGAAAGAAGGCTTAGACTAGTATCTTATACTATATACCACAAAAAGTTCCAGATGGGTACATCACCTATATTTCAAGTTACATCATGAAAAAAGAGAGGATAATAATAAAAGGTAGTTATCTTTCATGACTATGGCTAGGGGGAAGATTCTTAATTAAGGGATAGGGTGAAACCAGGTAAGGAAGGATTCTTGAAAAGATTTACAGGGAGAGAAAGAGAGAGGGAGGGACCCGAATGAAAGTCCATGAGGCAGGCTGAAATAGGGGGACTGTGTTTACCTAGGTGGGAGCTAGGCTGGCTTTGGGCAGCAGCATTGAGTAAAAGTGCGAGTAGGTGCAGTGAGTGGGGAGGATTTTTGACCCATTGTTTAAATGTCTGAGGGTCATAAGTGTAATGAGTGGCAGAACCAGGCCTTAACTGTAGATCCTTGGCGTTGCTCTGGACCTGGGAGACCACGTAGTCTAACCCACACCTGAACAAAAATCCCTTCTACAGTGTCCCAAATCCAATGCAGCACAACATACACTTTGTACAATGTCAAGTACACAGTAAGTGCTTAATAAATGTTACTTGGACTCTGAAAATACATAAAAATCAAAATGCTGAAGTCCTTTCCTTTGAATGGATGGCATGATGTAATAAATGTATTAAATGATAGAAGGCTTTGGTTCAAATCTTATCTGCAACTTAACGAGCTCCATGGCCATGGGCGCCTCAGTTTCCTTGCCTGCTTTTAACCCTAGTCTCTGAACTTAGGGCTCTCTCCACTGGGCTAGGATGCTGTTCCTTGCTGATCTCAGGTGTTTTTTCTTTTCTTTTTTGGCTGCCCCTCCCTCCCGTTCTGCCCTTTCCAGCTGCAACTCCGAGATCAAATATGATTCTGAGAAACACTACCGAGATGACATCTTCTATGTCCCCGTCCCCACCGTCACCTCCTACAGTGAGACCATCATCGCCACCCCCAATTGCACATGGCGGAACTACAAAACCAAGCTGACCTTCGAACCTCGCCAACGGGCCCTGCGTTTCCAGAGCACCACCATCATCTTCCCCAAGCACCCCAAAAACACTTACCGCACCACCCTCCACTACAGCCTGGGCTGCCCCAAGCGGTGGTTTGCATCCAGCGTCCAGCTGGAACTGTGTGATGACCTCCCCTACCCCGAGGAGCTCTAACCTGGCTCCTGCTCAGAACCATGGGGGGTGGGGGTGGGGAAGGGATGGAGACAAGGGAGCTGGAGATAAACTTGGCCAGGAACCCGGTAGGGGACAGAATGAGGAAGGCTGGCTGGGTGCATGCGGCTGGGGGGTGGTCTTGGAAGGGGACTGTTCTTTGAGGCTAATGGTAAATGACAACCAGGACCTGGTACAGAGAAGCCACCACCTGCCCCCCAGCATGGTATGTTGGTTGTACTGATCTCGTTTTACTTGTGGAAGATTAAATAAATGTATCTATTTTATTAGCATTTTAAATGGAGTCCAGGCACTTGGTTTGGCAGACATGGGTATGGGAGATGTTCTTTTAGGGGGGATGAGAGATGGGATCTGACAGTATCTTTCTCAGGAGAGACAGGGTGAGGCACTGGTCTTCTTCTCATTTGGGGGGCATGCGTTTCTGTCCCACCTGACACCTTCCCTAGTTTAGGCCACGTGTTTTTCCCCTCAGTACCCAAGAAGACATGGGGAAGAGTCAGTACAAATGCACCATCGATGCCATGTTTTCTGATATTATGAGCTAAATGGTGCAGGGTATATTTTCATTCAGTATGGAGGTTGATTTATGGGCCTAGTGACAGACTGCCTAGCAGTGGTCTGAGGACTATGGTACAACAGAAAAGATGGCTGTGGTGGGACCTGGATTCAAATCTTGGCTCTGCCACTCCCTATCTGTGTGACCTTGGCCAAGTCACTTTTGGGGGGGGCCTCAGTTCCTCATTTGTAAGATGATGAGGTTGGATTAAATGCCTTCCTTCTAGTTCTGAATTGTAACTTTCTAAACCAAAGTAGGATGTGTTCAGGAGACAGATGTAAATATTTGGGGGTTGTAAGCACAGAGATATAATTGAACCCATGGCAGCTTATGAGATTAACAAAGGGAGGAGGGTGCTGGGCGTAGCCCCGGGGGAAGCCTATGCCTACTGTGTGAGAGGTGCCTAATGCAAAAGTGACTGAGAAGGGGTGGTCAGAGAGGTAGGAGGAGAGCCAAGGGGGACTGAGGTCATGGAAACCAAGGGATGAGATGGATCTAGAAGGAGAGGCTGGGCAATAGCACCTCAAAGCTGCTCGGAGGTCAAGGAGGACAAAAGCTGGGAGAAGACCATTGGATGTAGTGCTTGGGACGCCACTGATGACCTTGGAAAGAGCAGGTTGGGCGTGAAGGAGGGGTAAAGGGGAGGGAGAGTCAGAAGCCAGGCTGCAAAGGGTTCGAAGAATCTGTGGAAGGTGAGAAAGTGGAGGTGGGTGGCTGGGAGAGGGAGAAGATCGCTTGAGGGGAGGACCCAGTCAGACAAAGGGTTAACACCTGGGAGCCCTGAGCATGTTTGTAGGCAGTGGGGAAGGAGCCAGTAGACAGGGAGACCCTGCAGATGAGAGGGATTAATGGGGGCAGGGCAGGGGGAGAATGCCGCCGCGGGCGGGGCGTCTGGTCAGGTCTGGACTCTGTGGGCTCGTGGGTCCTTTCCAGCTCAGGTTCTGAATCAAGGGAGAGACAATGTGAAAGGATTGTGTACAAACAAGAAAAAGACAGGAGAAAATGGAGATGATCTCAGAGGGAGGGCAGTGGAATTAAAAGGGGTGAGGGGAGGCTTCCTGCAGAAGGTGGGATTTTAGCTAGGACTGGAAGGAAGCCAAAAAGCCAGGAGGTGATGAGGAGAGAGAGTGTTCCTGGCATGCGGCACTGCCAGAGAAAAGGCTCGAGTCGGGAGGTGGAGTGTCCAGTGTGAGGAACTACAAGGAGGCCAATGTCACTGCCTCATAGTACGAGGGGGTAGGATGTAATAAGAGCGTGCAACTTCAGTTTTCTCAGCTAGGCATTCCAGGTTATCTGCTGAGAGGAGGGGGCTTCGAGTGACCCCACAGGGCAAAAATATAATTACTGTGAGAACTTAGATCAGAAAGGAATAGGCTCAGAGCTGGAAGGGACCCTAGAAGCTAACCTCAGTTTACAGATGAGGAAACTGAGGTGCAGAGAAGTGACTTGCCCAAGGTCACACAGCGAGTTAGTGAGGTGGAATATTGCTGACTCAAATCCAGCAACTCACTCACTGAGCCAGGCTGCCTTTCCAGAAATTAAGGATTGCTCTAGAGCCCCGAAGGCCCAGCTGAGGTTAGAGAACAGGGAGACCCATTGCAAGGGGAATAAATCACAGAAGCTGAGAATTGGAAGGGACCTCAGAGGCTGTCTGGGGGAGGTTCACTGTGGGGAGGGAAAGATTTGGGTCAGTTCTGGCTTACCCCAGCAGCCAGCTGAGACAGAGAGAGAGAGAGACAGAGACAGAGAGAATGAGAGAGACAGAGACAGAGAGAATGAGAGAGACAGAGACAGAGAGAGAGAGAACATGAGAATGATAGAGTATGAGAGTGAGAGAGACAGAGACAGAGAGAGAGAGTGAAGGAGAGGAGAGGAAAAGAAGGTGGGGGAAGGGGGCTGCTGGGACATGTTTGCGTGCCCTTGACAGTTTGAAAATTGTAGCCCGTCCCCTGCCCCTCCCCATGTGGTATCTGTTGTCCACCGAAGGCTGTGCGCTGATACTGGACACGCATGATTTGATCACAGAATAAACATCTATGTGATATGAAAAAGAGGAGATGAAATGTCCATTTGTCAAAAAGCTGGTGCTGGGGCAGTGAGGTATGCCCCACTCTTTGTCCGGCTCAGAGCCGGGAGGGAGCCCCGAGGCCGTCGAGCGGACCTGGAGCCCAGGCAGAATCCCTCCTCTGACTTCCTCTGACAGGGGCCAGGGCCCTGAGGGTTAGGAGGAAGGGAAGGTTCGGGGCCATGATCCTGCCTCTGTGCATGTGAAGGGATTAGCCCTGCTCTGGTCCTGCAGACATTTTTAAATTCAACACTTTCAAAACTGAACTCACTGTGTCAAACAACTGCCCTTTTACTCCCCAGTGAGGCTCATACCACCCTACGAGTCCCCAGGCTGGCTGGCTGGCTGGGTGTCATCCGTCACTGCTCCATCTCTCACCTTCCACAGCCAAGCAGTTAAGTTGGAGTGTCACCTGGCCAGCCAGGCTGCTCAGTGGTTAGAGCGCCGGGCCTGCAGTCAGGAAGATCGGAGCTCAAGGCCTGTATTAGACTGGCCTTACACTGGCTATGTCACCCTGGCCAAGTCACTTGACCTCTTCCTATCCTAGTTTTCTCATCTATAAAATGGGAGTGTTAATGGCACCTATTTCTCAAGGTTGTTGTGAGGATCAAATGAGATACTTATAAAGTACTTAGCATTTTGCCTGGAACACTGTGGATACTTAATAAACTCTTCCTCCTTCCCTCTCTCCTTCCCTCCTTTCATTCCTCCTTCCTTCCTTCCTTTCATTCCTCCCTCCCTCCCTTCATTCCTCCCTCCATCCCTCCCTCCCTCCCTCTCTTCCTTCCTTCATCCCCTCATGCCTGGACCAATCCAATAACCTGCCAATTTGGTCTCCTGACCTCAGTTCTCTCTTTACTCTCGACCCCACTCAGTCGTCATGATGATCTTAAGCACAGCCCTGACCAGGCAGCCAGGTGGCACTGTGGCTACAGCCCTGGACTTAGAGTCAGGAAGACCTGAGTTCAAACTTGACCTCAGCTACTTACTAGTTATGTCATGCTGGACAAGTCACTTAACCTCTGCCTCAGTTTCCTCGACTGTAAAATGGGGATCATAGTAGCACGTGCTTCCCCGGGGCGTTGTGAGGATTAAACAAGATATTTGCCAAAGGCTTTGCAAATCTTAAAAGCTATATAAATTCTAGTGATGATGATGATGATGGTGATGATGTCACCCCACCCCATAAACTCCAATGGCTCCCTTTGTCTCTTGCACTTCCTATCTGTGTGACCCTGGGCAAGTCACTTAACCCTATTTGCCTCAGTTTCCTCATCTGTAAAATGAGCTAGAGAAGGAAAGGTATCTGTGCCAACAAAACCCCAGATGGGGTCCCTATTACCTCCAGGTTCAAATACAAACTCCTTCCTAACCTACCCCCAAACCCACTTTTCTGGTCTTTTTATACCTCATACAGCCCCCCATGTTCTCTTCTGGCATCCAGTGACATTGGCCTGATTGTTCCTCACACCAGGCACTCTTCCTCCCTGCTCCAGGCATGTTCATGGCTGTCCTCTATGCCTTGAATGTTCTTCCTCCTTATCACTGCCTCCTGGCTTCCTTCAAGGCCCAGATGAAATCCTCCCTACTATGAGCAGCCTTTCCTGCATCCCCTTAATGCCCGTGCCTTCCCTCTGAGGACACCCACCAATGCATCCTGTCTCCATCTTGTTAGCAACATTGGTTGGCCCCTATTAGACTGGGAGCACACTGAGGGCAAAGGCTGTCTTTTGCTTTTCTTTGTCTCCCTAACACTTAGGATAGTGCTTGGCACACAGTAGGTGCTTAATAACTGTTGTTCTGCTTGGCCTCAGAGGGCAGACCTGGCAGTGATGGACAGAAGTTACACAGAGCAGATGTCCTGACTGTGTGCACCAAGAGTGGGGTGGGCATCTTTTTGGCAATGAGGGGGCTCCCCTTCACAAGAGATCTGAGCAGATGCTGGGTAATCAGAACCTCACAGGCTGTGAATCCGACCCAAACCTGAAGAATGCCTCTCTCCTCATCAAATCCAACCCATAGACTAAAGTATCACTACCCACACAAACCTGACCCTATTGTTTAGCCCTAGTCCTGACTGCTTCCTTTATTACTGGGATTTTGGCTCTTTGGACGCCCTCAAATTCTGCTGAATGAGGTCTGGCTGCTTTTATCACCAGACCCCCCTTAGCTGCCTGCTAAGCCAGATCAATCTGGTGCCAAGTTTTCCTTTTATGCCCCACTCCCCACCAAGAAGTCACAAGATTTTTTTCTCCTTGTGAGATCTCTATGGTGCAGTGGATAGAGTGCTGGGCTTGGAATCAGGAAGACTCATTTTCACGAGTTCAAATCCGAACTCAGACACTTGCTAGCTGTGTGACTCTGGGCAAGTCACTTAACCCTGTGTGCCTCAGTTTCCTCATCTGGAAAATAAGCCGGAGAAGGAAATGGCAAACCGCCTCAGTATCTTTGCCGACAAAACCCCAAATGGAGTCACAAAGAGTCAGACACAACTAAACAAGTGAGATTCTGAGAGAGAAAGAGAGAGAAAGAGAGAGAGAGAGAGAGAGAGAGAGAGAGAGAGAGAGAGAGAGAGAGGAGAGGAGAGGAGAGGAGAGGAGAGAGAGGAGAGGA